TTTGGATTTTATTTGCACCATTCTTAATAAATGAACGACGTCTGCATATTGTGAAAAGCTCCTTATCTCCTAAAGACATAATACCTTTGCAGCAGCACCACACAGAGCAACTGCTTCACAACTGGCAACTCCAACGGAGCAACTGATGCTTTTTCACTCCTAATATAAGGAATGCTGTTTCAATAAAATCCAAAGGGGGGGAAGGCCTTAGCAATACTATTTTAAAACCTGCTCTGACAGAGAACTAAAGGTCAGAAGATACCTGGGGCATCGCTCTTAAGAGGCACAGAGGTGGAAAATAGAGAAAATGTAACCCCTGTTCTCCCTCCCTGGATGGGCAGCACTACACAGTCAAAGAAAGATACATGAGAGAAAAATGTAAGATACTGTAAGACCCTGGATGCCAAGATTCCTGCCTGCACTTCCTAAATTCTATGACTTTCACTATAAAAGCAATTCTCCTGGGAGACACTTTATAGACTAATTTTACAAAAACAAAAATTCTATTCTTCTTTAAACAAGAAGAATATTTTTCCTTTAATATATACAGTTTTTAAATTACTGCTCAATTTGAAATAAGGTACTTAGTGTCAGACTTTATCACTGGATTGGTTGGCTCTTTCTTTGTTATAAGGAAAAGCTTATGAGGTGGGGTAAGGGAAAGGAAGATTAAGAGGTAATGACTGTGATTTAAAAACAAAAGACAAAAATTAAATTAAAAACAACAACAACAACAACAACAAAACAGCCAGAGCCAAGAACATACTATGTATAGTAACTACAACAACATAAAATAAAACCAAAATATAGAGGTAACAAAACTGGTCAAATCCAATGAATGGCCAACATAACATAGTATCAAAGTTATACATTCCTCTTATCTGTTATCAACAAATTTTTTCAAGAAAGGTACTTTGTCAAGTGGCTTGTTATAAAGTTTCTGCCATGCCAAAATAAAATCTATTAAAAAGTTAAAAATAAAAGTGCCACTGATGTCTAAAACTGAAGTTTATTACAAGTACCAAGTTTTTCTCCAATATGATAACTGTAATACAACAGTAGTGTGCCACGCAATTTAAAATTCTGGATCTATTCTACAATGCTGGGACCATTAAGTGTGCTATGTCTAAAAATTGAATATAATCAGTTACTAGGTGAATACATCCAAAGGTAGCAATCCTCTGGTATGCATACCCAGCAGCATAAGAACATATCCTCAAGTATACCCTTGGGTCTCATTTGATAAAGTTTCCTTAACCCAACGTGGGGCTTCGAGGGCTATGTCTATGTCTATGATGGTATATTCAGAGTTCAACTCTGGTCCAATCACCTGATGATTTAATATATTTCCCATCATTGGTCTTTGGTGGACCCCAGACTACTGGGAGCTAAGCAGTTAACTAAGGGAGAAAAGGGACAAGAAGGTAGCTCTCAAGGTCGTACTGAAAAAAAGACCTGAAGCTTATCTACCAACTCTTTATCTTCACACACTGCTTAGGCTTTAGGTCTTGTTTGTGATCACCCTTTCCTTTCAAAGCTGTTCTGGATGTGCATTTTAAATTGTATAAAAATGATAGGTGTTAGAGATATAGTATATTTGCCCTAGAACCAACATCCCACTAGTGATGGTCTTGCAAGCTCTTAACTACTGAAAAGGACACATCCAATTAATATGTGACTAAAAACTGAGTACAGAAAGTGGATATATGAAAATGGCTCAGCAGAATAAAAAATATCAGGCAGGAAGCTAATTGAAGCAAATCCTAATTTTAGCTTTATAATTTTATGACTAAATAAAGTCATTTTAGCCCTCCTGATGCTCATCAGTACCAAGGCCAATAGTACCAACAAGACATTACAAAGAATATCTTAAAACTGTAAAATAATTTGCAAAAGAACAATATGATATAAAAGTAAAATAGTATTATCATGAAAATAATGATGGCATTAATCCAGAGACTGCATCATGAAATGGGAAACTAAATTGTAAGCAGAATCTATTCAGGAAAATTTCACTTGGGATAATTTCTGCCTACTAATTAAGTAAATCTCAATTCCCTTGCAAGAAAAAAAAATAAAAGGGGCCAAAGAAAAATTCAAAATACATCCCTGAAAAGGATTATATATAACACTAACTTTTGCTTTTCAATCACTGTCTTTCATCTGAAGAGATCTGACTAGTTAGTTTCTATTTTGGTCTAGGAACTATTCTGATCTGTCCAATTAACTTTTCAAGAATAAGGAAAACTCAGCTGTTATTTTAGTCACCTGACCAGAAAAGCAATGAGTGTATACATTGTCTTGCACAATGCAAATTGGCATAAAGTGTAACAATTTATGCTTTCTGATATCTATTATGGAAGGTGATCATTTTGAATGCTAGAAGACAGTTTTATTAAATAGGTTCCCCAAAATGCTTGACTCAAAGAAAAAAAAGAAGTCAGCAATGAATTATACAGAGGATAACTACTAAGCTCTTAAACAGCAGAAAAACAATATCTAGGATACTCAGAATATACTTTTTTTTTAATAAAAAGAAAAGATTATTTTGAGACCCACTTCACAGGCCAATATGGTAGTATGCATCGAATAACTTTTAAAACCACAAAGACAACATATTCTTCTTGGCGGCTAAGACTCACATCAAGACCAAAGCCGTCAGTACAACTCAAAATTTAGAAGAGCAGAAGCCCTTTTTGCCTAACTAGGCCAGGGTGAAAACACTGAAAAAAATTATACCCACAGAAAACCACAAGTTCAAGGCAGTAACACTTGAGATTTAATTCAAATTCATAGCCTTCCAGGAAAAGTATAACAAATAAAAGAGGACACTATCGAATATGGAGACTTGAAAAGGCAAAGGTTAAATGAAAAATTCTAACCTTTTTTAAAAGATAATTCAAAGTTGTTTTACTAACAAATACTTTATTACTGTTGCTGAAAAGTAATAATTCGAATGACAGAGTTTCACCTCCATTATCTTTCTTTTTCCATTATTTAGTGGCTATCCTAATGAGCAGTAAAATAACCAAAAGGACCAGAAGAAACAGAATTCCAAGGCTTAAATAAATGACGATAATAATAATAGCTAACATTTATTTAGCTTTTAAGATTTGCAAAGCATTTTGTATATATCATTTTGGTTAATCCTCAGAAGAGCCTGGTGAGATAGGTGCTATTATTATCCACAATTCACAGAAGAAGAAAAAATGGCTGATACAGATTAAGTGATTTGCCCAGGGCCACACAGTGATTACATGTTTGAGGCAGAATTCAAACTCAAGTCTTCCTGACTCCAAGTCCAGTACTCTATCCACCTGCCATCAAGAGGCTTAGGTGCACATACTAGGAAATAGTCTCTAAATAACTGAATATTCCATTTCAACTAAACTATGATAAATGCATAATATCCAAATCATATATTTTATTAATTCCAAAGTCAATAATTCTTTGAGTACTGAAAGAATTGAAGCAACTGCTAAAGAGAAATCAAATCCTGATCCCCTCTCTACCTGACTCTGCCACTGTATTTATCTACCATCCCTGACCCAACCGCTGGGCTCTAGCTCTTCCATGATGACATCAAGATCCAAATCCAGAAACCAGTTGAAATAGTCTCATGAGAATAACCAAGGGGCCCTTCAGTCCAACTCTCTCACTTTGTAGAACAGGAAAGTTGGGGTCATTCCTTCTATCTCTGCTATTACATATGTAAACAATATTTAAACAATGTTCCCTTAAATCAATAAAGTACCCTAATTAAGAGTTATTTTTGTCTCAAAAATATAATTAAGAAACTAGATAATGGTTTTCTGGTACTTCCCCAAAAGCAAAGTTCTCTTTTTATAGCTCTTGTAACTCTCTCACAGGGGGAAAAAAGTATGTGGGGAAAAAACAGTGCATAAAGCTCAGGTGATGAGGGTCTCTGTCATTTTCCTTTAATCCATTCCAAACTTGACCTTTACTCAATGAACAGGTGTGTGTGTGTGTGTGTGTGTGTGTGTGTGTGTGTGTGTGTGTGACATCTTGGGTCTCAAAAACGGTTGTTCGGCCTACTGTGACAAAGAAATTTTAATCTTCCAACAGTAAGTTAAAAAAAAAAAGAAAAAATGGAGAAAAGGAGGAAAACAAAAAATAGAAATAATATTAATATGCCATCTGTTTTATGTGTATTATATTTTAAAGTCAATAGGTGTTACGAACTCTTCTAATATTATTATTCACTGACTTGAAACTAGATGACGCTTGGATATAAAAATGCCACAACAGGATTAACACAAATGAAGAAATTTCACATATTAAAACTAAACCTCAAAGGAGTTGAATTTTAAAAGGTAAATCATTAATAGAGAATTTCTTTATATATTACACAATGTAGCGACCCCAAAATGTACTCTTCTATCTGTCCTACTGGATTAAATCCATCTAATTCAGATGTATGCTAAGTATCCACTTAATAGGTATGAGGATGTAGTAGCTGGGTTAGGAAACAGTAGTTAGAATGAAAGAAATTTTCTTTAGACTTAGTAAAGACTAAATTTAAAATAGAATAATAATTCAGTAGGATTAAAAATCAGTCCAAAATCAGATCACTAAAAATCAGAAGAAATTTCTAAATATGTACTAAACATAGGCATTCCAGGAAAATCAGGAAAACCACTAAAATTATTTTTATTAATCATCTTCTACATTACATAAAAATGTTATTTTTAAAAAGTTAAAAATCAGGAAAACTACTAAAATTATTTTTATTAATCATCTTCTACATTATATAAAAATGTTATTTTTAAAAAGTGGTATTTCATTTAGGATTTTCCAGGAATCCTAAACATTTCCAGTCCAATGATGAAACATGGGAGAGAAAAAAGTGAAAATGAAGACATTTATTCCTTGGGTTCCTAGAAATAACTCCAAAACATTACTCAAAAGAATAATCATCATATTTATGTTTTTAAAGGTAAATTACACGCTTTCACCAAGTTTTTCTTCTACACACTCACCCATCTGCTCAACAATTTCTGGAGGAAATACCCGCGAGGCAAAAGCTCGACGAAATATATCTGAAAACTCCCTGTCCAGGCCTCCTATTCCCATCTTTTCAAAGTTCCAGTCAGGATTGATGATAGACTGTCGATTTTCCTTGGTTTTAGCTTTACCTGTACAAATAAAATACAATCAGATACTCAACAGTCAGAAAAAGGAATTCAAAGAAATTTTGGTACTATTAACAAATACATATTAACAAATATTAACAAATAGACAGACAATACATAAATTGAATAAATAAATTAAATCTCAGTAAATAAGAAGCTGTTCACATACAAAGATGACATTGCTGGCCCATCTAGAAGATGGTCAATGTCATTAGGATATAGAGTTGTTTTCCCCAGTAGTGGGAAATGGGTTCTGCTAAACCACCTTTTAAGTTCTTGCCTTGTTGCTTTTGTGGTTAAAAGAACATTTGCAAAACGGCCAGCTGTGGGGCTAACTTACATCCATGGAACAAAAAAATGGAAAATTTACATTTTAGAGATAAAAAATTAATCTTGGACTCCTTAAGTTCTAACTACATTAAGGAGCCTCTCAAAGCTTCCAAAAGGAGCATAATAAAGGGAAAACACATTTACCTAAATTCAAATCATTAGGTATACAAAGAATATGTGGAATGTATTCTTTAGTTTGTTACATTTACATGTGCGAAATTAGTCTAACCAACTCAATGCAATACAACATGTGTTAAGGACTCAATACAGGTTTATGTAAGGTGGTATGTTAGGTGCTTTGAATAAAAAAAAAACAAAAACAAACAAACAAAAAAAACCAGTCCCCATCTTCAAGGATACCACCAGGGGATACAACTTATACAGAACGAATATAAATAAGTATAAAACATGTACAAACAAATAAAAATAATTTCAAGAGGGAGAAGGCACTAACAACTTGGAGTGAGCAGGAAAGGTCTTGGGAAGGGGGTAACAACAGAGCTGTACTTTGGAGATACCTAGTAGATTTATGAGAGAGAGGTCAGGAAGAAGTACATTTCAGATATGAGGGACTAGTTTTTGCAAAATGACTGAGGTAGGAGGTAGAAGAGCACATATGGGGAACAGGTTGTAGGCTAGTTTGACTAGAGTAGAGAAGTGCATAAAGGAGAGAAATATGAAATAGGGCGGGAAAGTTGGATGGAGACCACTTTTCCAGAAGAAAGTTTTAAATATTAAGCTCAGAAGTCTGTGTATTTTCTTAGAGGCAAGGAGGAATCATTGAAGATTTTTGAGTATAGAGATAACATGGTCATATCTCTATTTTAGAAATATCAACTGGGCAGCTGGAGTGGACAAAGACTGGAGACCAGTTAGGAGGGTATTTTAGAAGTCCACATGAGAGATGATTAAGTTCTGAATTAGGGTAGAAGCTATGGGTTTCTATAGGTGGCAAACCATCTAAAAAAATTACAGATTATAAACCTAATTTCATTTCAAAATATTTTACATAAAGAAGATAAAATTTCATCAATCTAGGTTAGAGTCTGACCTAAAATAAGGCACTACACTGCCATATTTGAAAAAAATACAATATAAAAAAATGGAATTGTCACAGGACACCTGAGGATAAAATTGGAATACAACATTATTATTCTTATAAAACCAGTGAAGGAAAGCAACAAATGAAAAAAGAAATTTAAATAAGATAATTTCCTGAATACAACATCACTGGGCAAAATTTCTTTTATGATGCACCTTGGTTATTTTCTTACACTTGGGTGACCCCTTGTGGCCAAATGCATAATGCACAATAAATCAATAAACCATTATTTCAATTTTTAAAAATCTATAAATTACATTTTGCATAGATCACTTAGAAAATTTAAAATTATATTTCATAAAAGTCACATAACACTATAGAGGAAGACTTGCTTAAATAGCATATGAATTAAATAAAACCCATCACTTCAGAAATTCACTGCCAGGGAAATGCCGCTTAACCTTCCTTAGATGTAATGACAAGATAGAAACTGTTCCTTGGCCTATGAAAATCTCTCATTTCCAACAAGATTATACATGGACGAGAACACTTAAAATAAGAATGCCAGGTGGCCAATGGCAGTCTTCATTCTAATGGACTCCTTTTCTCAGAGACCATTATTCTGTACATACAGCCCTGTATAGATTCATCTCAGGAAGCTCTAAATAATGGAGGAAAATACTGTTTCATATATTACTTTAAAAGATGACTATAGTTAGGGATTTTTCCCCCCAAACACTTTCATCACTATTAAGTCTAGTCATCAATCCTTTTTTTTTTCTTTTTTAAGGCAATTGGGGTTAAGTGACTTGCCCGGGGTCACACAGTAAGTGTCAAGTGTTTGGTCTAAGGCCGGATTTGAACTCAGATCCTCTTGACTTCAGAGCCGGTGCTCTATCCACTATGCCACCTACTAGTTTGGTCTTATAGAAATCATACCTATTGCTATTTTAAAACATGGGGCTAGTGAATGTTACATAAATACACAGTAATGATGACTTCTATGACAGGTTACATAACAAGCAAGCTATTCTTTCTACATTAGCTCATGACACATCTCTCTAAAACCAAAGATAAGGTAGTACTAATGCAATTTTCATTAATCTGCTCCAGTTATTAAACACTTTTGAAACATCTTTGCTTCATCCAGAATGAGTCATATGCTTTATTTACAGGGAAAAACAAAAAACAATCATACTTTTTGCATTCTGGTGACATCTGTTAAAGTCACCAAAATAAAAGAAACATAACGCTGAACAAAATTAGCTTCCAGAATGAAACATATGCTTTAAAGCCCTTCACAGTTAGATGCTATTAAGAACAAGATAAACACCCATCTCTTTGAGAATTTAGGTGAAACCTGCCTAGAGGCAAGGATATGGAGACACAATGCAATTTATTAATCCCTTCTCATCCTACAAGAGTGACTTCGTGTGTACCTAGATTATTTCACAATTCATAGACAGAGCCTTCATTTCTTTCTTTTTATTAATTTATTTTTAGTTTTCAACATTTACCTCCATAAGTTTGAGTTTTAAATTTTCTCCCCCTTCCTTCCCACTTCCCTCCCCAAGATGGTGTGCAATTTGATATAGGCTCTACATATACATTCCTATTAAACATATTTTCACATTCGTCACATTGTAAAGAAGAAAAGAGCCTTCATTTCAAGGGGAGACATAGTAATGCTTCTAAGTAAAGCAAATTAGATTTCATATAAATTTGAACTATGAAAACATAAGTTTCCATTTCTTAGCACATTTATTTAAATCATAGGAGAAAGTCTGAGAAATTGTGTGTTACTATTATTATTATTAACAACTTATTCTTAACTTTTTTAATGGTGGTTGGATGGAAACAATCCTAGGATAGGTTGCTATCCTATTAGTTTTTTATATTTAATGTTCTATAGACTAGTGCATGCGTATAGAAAATAACTGCATTCTGTAACTGAATAAAATATTAGGAGGTAAGCTCATACTCTGGAAATTCACTGAGAAAATCCTTGTTATAATTCCAATATATAATTCCAATAGCCAACTGAATCGTACCTCATCTTCTTTCCACATGATTTTTATATTCTCTTATAAGTCTCTATGTTTTAGAAGTTTATTATTTCATGTGGATAGGCAGAAAGAGTATTTGTTATAGCTAAATCTATTAAAAACACCGTGCTGAAGTTTTTATGGATTGATGGGATGTCTGGGTAATTGTGAGCAACAGCCTGGCCTATGACAATGCTCTGGTTCCCAGGCAATTTACTGATCAATTTCTTCAAGATATTTTCAGGTAGATAGCAGCAAAATGGGAATTTGCCATCTATCAGTCCATGAAAGACAGGGAGATTCTGATGTTTAATTCTAGGTACCAGTTCTTGCTATGCAAGGTACTGAGTAGGTTCTATATGGTTTCAAACTACACTGATGTGTTGGTCAATGCCTACTACTTTCCTTGCATAATCCACAATGATCACTAAGTTCATTCTCCCTAAGGATAATCCTTTTATAATTTCTGGTGATAAACACCTGGTCCTGAAATGCCATCATAAACCCTTGCATTTTCTACTTTTTTATCCTCATATTGTTAATGGAGTTGCTATCATCCACTGAGGGGCTCTGACTCTACTTGTGGATCTTAGCCATTTCACGGACTCTGTCTAGAGGCAAATAATATTTAATTATATTCAACAAATTTAATGATGTATACCTATCATTAGTCTTTACTACTGCTCAGTGAAGTAATGCCTTCTTGTTTGAAAAGTATTTCTAGTAAATTTTGGAGGCAGCTAGGTGGTGCAGTGGATAGACCGCTGGGCCTGGAGTCAGGAAGACCTAAGTTCTATTGGATAACATGAATATATAATGTTCCTAGGCAGCAGTTATGTTACTTTTGCCAACTCCGTTCGGCATGTAGGAGCAGAGGGAGGAGGTGGTTGGAGTAATCCAGAGATGAGACAGTGAGGTGAAGGATTTCAGAGTAGCAATATAGAACTAACTGGCTACCTAGAAGGCCAATGGAAAAGGAAGGAAAGTCAAGTCAGAGCAGGCATGATAGCCTGAAAAAGCCCTGAGGGGTTACAAGGCAAAGCAGTTTCAGGAAGAGTGAAGCACAGGGAGAGAGACAATGATATGGTCAGACAGGCATATCAGAGTTCTGGATTAAGGAAGTAGAGCACTTGTGAGTAATGGTGAAAGCTAGACTAGGACCATCCCTACCTCAGTATGACTGAGGTAGAGTGAAGGAGCAGTTCATGGAATTTGAAGAGTCTGAGAGACTGAAGAAGGAAGGTTAGAGAGTTTGAAGGAGCATTGATATGTATGTTAAAGTCCTTAGTAGAAGAGCAGGAGTTGGGAAGGAGAGGAAGACAGAGAGTCAGTTGGTGATCTCCTTGAGAACAGACAGATGATGAGCTAAGGGACTGTATATAACAGCCAATAAGATCTTGATTAGGTAGAAAATTTTAACAGAGTGATCTTCAAAAGAACAGAAGTTACGATGGTAAGGCAGAGTCTTGAAATGACTAAGTATTCCAACTCTCACTCCAGGAACACTGTGCTTGGCAGGTGATGATGGTGGTGAAAGCATAACCAGTGGTGAAGAAGATAGACAGTAAATGAAAAGACTGTGAGAA